GATTGGATTCCAATTAGTAGCCGGCTATGTGCGGTCCGATTGGCTGGCTCGTTTAAAGCTTCGAAGTTGCGTGTGACTAACAGGTGTCTATTCGTTATCGCTGCCTACGCGCCCACAAACTGTAGCGATGATTCGGTAAAAGACGACTTCTATCGCCAACTGAACGAGCTCCTTAGCCACGGAAGATGCTCGGACACTGTTATGCTGGCTGGGGATCTGAACGCTCAAGTTGGAAAATTATCCACAGATGAGCTGCATCTGGGCGGCCAACATGGTGTAGGCTCCCGTAATGATAAGCATGAGCGCTTACTTTATTCGTGTGAAGATACTCGCTTATTTTTTGCGAACACTAATTTCCGACACAGCACCCGCCGGAGGGTGACTTGGCGCCCACCAGCCTTGGACGCAGATCGATCACATTGCGATCACTTACCGCTGGAGAGGCTGCGTCCAGAAGTGTCGCTCGATTTGGAGCACAGGTGTGGACACCGATCATGCACTTGTATGTGCTGATCTGCGGATGCGCTTTGGCGAACACCCACGACGACCTTGTGACCGTATTGATACCAGCCAACTTGCGAAGCCAGCTGTTCTGATTGCCTACCAAACTGCGCTGTCATGCGAGTTGGATAAACGCTCACTATGCATTGAAGCTCACTGGTCTCATATTCGCCAGACCTTAAAGTTATCAGGAAAATCTTCATGTGGTACGACTAATCGCCAACATGAACATAGGGTCTCTTCGCGGTCTCTGGAACTTGTAGATGCTCGCCGGCATATTCCGGCTGGAAGCGAACACAATGAAACTCGCAAAGAGCTCCGCGAATCCCGGTGGTCTCATCATGCATCAGATACGGAAATGGTCGCTGCTCTTTGTAACCATCATAAGTTATTCCGGCTGATGCGGGAATCGGACAGCAGGAGACCTGATGTTATGGAAACAATTTGTGTCGAGAGCGGACAGACTACCCACAACTTGTCAAAACGCTTGGAACGTTGGGCTGAGCACTTTGAAAGGCAGTTTAATCGGTCGGAATTGTTAGATTTCTCGCCGGCCACTGATCGCCCCGCTCCGTGAGCTGTCCCTTTGGATCCACCCTCTCGCTCGGAAATCGAACGTGAGATCGCACTGTTGAAGTTAAATGAAGCCCCGGGGTCAGATGATCTTCATCCAGCCCCCTCAAATTCGGGGGACCTGCTCTGGTGGATGATTTTACGAGTTACTAGTGAAACTGTAGGAGCAGGAAACTGTCGCAACCGACTGGAGCCGCTCCGTCACAGTCCCAATTTTCAAGGGAGGCTCACGATCGGAATGCGGCAACCATAGAGGAATTAGTCTGATCTCCATCGGCTCCAAATTGCTTGCCTCTGTCATCCTTCACAGACTGACTGGCAATCGTGAAAGCCATATTAGTGAAGAGCAAACAGGGTTTCTTCGAGGTCGCGGCTTCATTGACCACCTCTTCACCTTGCGGCAGTTGTTGAAGCACCGTCACATATATAGGCGGCCCACCGTTGTCGTGTTCCTCGATATCAAAGGTACATTCAATTCTGTGGATAGACTTGCACTTTGGGACTGTCTACTCAGGAAAGGTGTACCTGAGAAATATGTAAATATTATCCGAGCATTATACGCGCGTAGTTCAAGCAGAGTGAGGGCTTACGGCAAGCTGTCGTCGCCCTATAATATCTCCAGCGGTGTGAGACAAGGATGCCCGAATGCACCTTTCCTATTCAACTTCGCTATTGACCAAGTCATGGAGATTGCATTTACAGGACATGACTTGGAAGGTGTGGATCTTCTCCCAGAAGAACGACTTCTTGACTTAGAGCATGCTGATGATATTGCTCTCATCTGTGACAGCTCACAAACGTGCCAAGCGGCACTGGACAGATTAGCACTAGCTGTCCATCTCTTCGGGCTTTGCTTCGCACCCCCGAAGTGAAAAGTGTTCCTCCAAGATTGGTCTGGACCACCTCCTATGCTGACCGTTGGTAGCGATCAGCTAGATATCATTCAAAAATTCAACTACCTGGGAAGTTGTATCATCGCCCTTGGGATTGGGGATGAGATCACGAACCGTATAGCAAAAGCTCGTGGCGTTTTTGCTAACCTTCGCCACTTATGACGCCGGCGCGACATCACTCTTGCCCTGAAGAGTAGAGCGTGCAGTGCAGCGGTACGTTCGACCCTGCTGTACGGTTGTGAAACCTGGCCCCTTAGATAATCGGATATGAAGAGGCTAGTAACATTCGACCACCGGTGCCTTCGCAATTCAGCTCACATCTGGTGCGAAGACCGCGTGAGTAACGAGCGTGTTCGACGCCTTGTTTACGGCACAGGAAAGGAACTGAACCGCTCAGCACCGTTATTTCACGCACCAGGCTCCGATGGCTCGGCGACGTGTTACGCATGCAGCCCACCGACTCCCGCGGCGTGCGTATTTTCCGCGCCGGGAATGTGGATGGAAGAAGAGGAGCGGTGGCCAAGCGATGATTTGGTCGAGAGGAATGAAGGCCCTCACTTCTGAGCTGGCCTCGGTGTGAGCGTCACGGCTCCCTGGTTGGGGTCGGAAAGACGATGAACACGTTTGGCTGGATACACTTGTTGATCTGGCTAGGAGCCGACCTCAGTGGCGTTCGTGCAGTGAGTTTCTTGATCCCTCCTCATCCCCTTTCGTCTCTCCCTCCAATCAAGATCTCACTATTTAGCATTTTATAATTTTGCATAGTAATTTTTTTGGATGCACAGTAGCCGGCTGTTAGCTTACCGGAACGATGCCCATCCGTTACCGGTAGCTTAGTCGGCTTGCACCAGTTGCACTCTTTCTCTCTATTTTTCTATGTATTGCGGTGAGGTGTTTCCCACCTCTAGCTTACTTTTATGATAATGATGATGATGGCATTTCCACTTTGAATATGACGGCGTATTTACTAAATTTACTAAGATTCTTTGTCCGACCTATGTACCCATAGGTTGTTCCTTTCATCCTTCTTCCATCGTTCTGCTTTTTCCAATCAATATCTTGTCTTCACCTTCGATCATGATTTGTGACATCGTTTCATTCTGAGTGCGGTTTTTAACTTGGCAGGACAGTTCTGATTTTGCATTTTTATCATTCTACGTTTTTTCCACTCCGCTACTTACTTCAGCTTGTGAGGGGTCGACAGCTTAGATCACCTAACTATCTTGATCCTTATATACAACGGTGCCTGTTCATGTTTTGTTTTCTCTATCCTTATGTCCATGCACCGTACCGACGAGTTTTGTATGTTCGCTGTATACTCGCAAACGGCCTGATGTTAAAGCTTGGGGTGCTTGAAGGATTTGACAAACGTCATCCACTCCCCATCACATGCAGCAACCCTAGAGGGCAGTTCTGTCCATTGGAAGGAACGCAGCTCGAGCTACGAGTGTAAAGCGCTCGGATAATACTTACATCTCGGACACACCTTTCCTTAGTAGACAGTTCCAAAGGGCACATAGATCCACCGAATTGAAGGCACCTTTAATGTCGGGAAACACGACAACAATGGGCCTCCCGTATATGTGACGGTGCTTCAAAAACTGTCACCGAGATATGATCGATGCAGCCGCATATTTGACAAAACCCGGCTTGCCACTCTCGAATCTGACTTTCAAAAGTGCTGGTCAATCTGTGACGGATGCCAGAAGCAAGCAATTTAGAGGCGATTGTGATCAGACGGATTCCTCTATGGTGGTCGCATTACTAACTGGAGCCTTCCTTGAAGAACAGGGCAGAAGCAGAGTGGCTCCAGTCGGTTGGGCTAATTTCCTGCTCCCAGTTTCACTAGTAATTCGCGTAATCAGCAGTGAGAGCAGGGACCCCAAATTTGAAGAGAGTTGAATGAAGATTATCTGGTCCTGCTGCTTTGTTCAACTTTAACAGTCCGATCTCACGTTCGACGTCTGAGCGAAAGCACGGATCCGAAAAGACAGCCCAGGGCGCACTGCGACCACTAGCCCAACGCTCCACGCCGTTTGACAAGTTGTGGATAGGCATTCAATCTCGTCACAAATAGTTTCACTAACATCGGTTCTCCTGCTGCCCGTTTCTCGTATCAGACAGAATAACTTTTAATGGTTACCAAGAGCAGCGGCCACTTCCATCTCTGACGCACAATGAGACCACTAAGATTCGTGGTCATTCAGGCTAGCATATAATTTTGCCCTGAGGTCTTTGTGAGTTTCATTGTGTTCGCTTTCACTCGGAATGCGCTGGCGAACATCGATAAGTTCCAGAAAGAGCGACAGAGTTTGAACATGGCGATAAGAGCGACAAAGCGTAAGATGGATAACAAAAAGACGGGAAGGTTGCGCACTAATATCCAAACCCTTATCAACTCTGATGAATGCCGTAGACAGGGCGCCGTTAATTATCCTCTACGACGACCAGGGCATCAAAAAATTATTTTAAGGTGATGTTATTGTATTGCATGTGCGAAATACTGCCAGGTTGTCCAAGCCTAGACAGGAGAACGATTAGGGTTGCTGACCAAAGCCTTTGGTTCAAATACCTGACCGCTAGGCAGCGGGTTTGGCAGTTGACTACAAGGAGTCCGTTTTAAGGAATAAAAAGTCAACCTTACTTCGACCTGTAACCTAAAGGATTAGGAGACTTATTTTGTCTGGCCTGTAACCATTGAACAATCTGGTTTGAGTGGCTCTGAAAGTGCACTACCCAGCATAGCTCAATAGATCGCTCATGCACGCAAATCCTCGCACTGCAGTAAGGTCCAGCCTCATTGCAATGGTGCAACTCACGGGAGTCACTACCTATTCTTCCCTTCTAACATTTATTCACTTGTGTAGGAACGGATACTAAAAGAAAAAAGATTGGATACTGCTTTTTGGACACAAAGTTCCATCGCACTTTTAACTATTGTTTGTGTAACTATGTTACACTGATTAAAACCAATTGTTGCGACTGCATCGAAAACTACCAGTTTACTTTGCTCTAATTCCACTCATCTTTCAGAACATCACCAAAAGTACCCACCATCAATCCTGTGCCCTTTCTGGAATGCACGCGACTGGAAGAACTATGTCAATGCTGTATTTGCCCAACAAGCACAATGTCTGGTCACCTGACTCCGGCGAACTCGAAGTCGCAAATTGTTTCATCTGATGTTGCAAACAACTCGTGTACCAATGGTATGTCAGGGTTTCATCCTTCGCACCGGGACGGTTTGGCTACCTTGTTAATGGAAGAAGAAAAAGAACTGAGACCGCACTTGTTCGGACGGTCTCCGTGCGCCATTCAAAGCGAAGAGTTACAGGAGCGCAACGCACGGAATTCTTTACAACTCTTTTCGGAACCCCTATCTTTGCGCCAGACCCTGAACCACAATAAGACATCCCTATCCACAAAACTTCACACTTTTTTCATGCAGTTGTTTTGTCGCACAAATTGCCCATCTGAACGTCAGCCCTCCGTGCTGACTGTGGTCAAACACCTCGGGCGTGTGTACCACCCAGCCGTTATAACTCTCTTGATGCATGCCCGGTGAGTACGCGTCTTCTCGTCGTCATCCACGTCATTGTCTCTAGTGTTGCCTTAGCAACAGAAGCTTTTTTGGTTTATTTTTTCCCAGCTTATTTTTCCTTTCTCGCACCCATGGAGGTCATGCGTCTCAAACCTTGTGCACATTGTCGTTTTACGATCTCCGACGCAGCAATTGACTTTACCCGGCTACTTGAGGTTATTACACTTTCGTTGCACAGTTGGTCTGTGTACCCGGGTGGCCCCTACAAACTGCGATACACGTTTTGTAACAAGTCCAAAGATGCACCTCAGAACCACTTGTGGCAACCCATCAGTTTGGGCGACCAAATCTATAAACAATTCTACGCATGCGATGTAAGTCGTTGCACCCCCCCAATCGTCCACGCATACCTACCTGTCAACCTTATTACCATATCACCTGCCGTCGAGTCCATGGACGCTCGACCAGGTGCAGGTCTGACAGTACTTGCTGAGTTTGATTTGCTAACGCTCTGGACCTGAGCTCTCTTTTTCCATCCGTCCTTTTGCTTCACAATGGCTTCACTGTTTAAAACGCTTATTACAATTTCTGCTTGCGTTTTTACTTGTAGGGATCGAGAGCACAGTCCTTTGGACCTTAGTCATCCGACAATCCAAGCTGCTGTCAGTAGTATCACTACACCTCAAAGGGAATTTGCTGTCTTGCAACGCATTCGCGGTCACATTCAGGAAAAGGACTTGCCTCCTTGCAATCCGTCATATCGCAGCCAACGTGTCTTGAGTGTGGAATCTGAATTGGTTACAGATCAGCGCGCACAACGGAGCTTCCAGTCAGTAGTTACATGTTCATTTCACGAACCTACCAAACCTCTTCTGCCTAAAGAGCGCTTTTATCGCAGCGCTGCTGCTAACAATCGCAGTTCGGTGGTCTTAGACGTTCGAGCGTCTCAGCTGGCTCTTTTACCACTAAAGAGGAGCTCGGTGATAGAAACACCCGATTCTTTTGGCAGTAGACAATCAGACGGCAAACTGAATCTTAAGGTCGGTGCTTTATATCGTCAGAGTGCTATTAGTGAGCCTGGTCCGGAGGGGGATCAGTTTAATCCACCGGAATCTAGATGTGGAATCGACTGGCAGGATGTTCAAGTTTTTGTCAGTCGGAAGCCGGCTACTGAAGGCCACTGGTCTGAATTTGGCCCACTTACTTGCATGTCAAACGGTCAAAATGAGTCTGGAGGCACACCAACTGGAAGTCTTTATGCTACTGAAGATGCAGCAACCACAGATGATTTTGAGGAGACGGAAGACACTATCTCTATATCTAGCCAAAATCAGCGGGATTTAATGCAGTCGATGTTTCTTGATTCGGATGCATTTGCTTTCCTTCCTGAGACGCCGGATCAAGCAGCATGTACGTCTTTAGCGGTACCGGAAGCGTTAGTTACAACGGTATCTACAGCCGATAGCCTGAATACGGAGGTTAGTTCTTCTTGGATAATTATCTCTGGTTCGAAACGTTGTAACTGATCTAATCGGTTCCTTTTCCTCGCTTTGAAGTTATCAATCATGGTAACCTCATTTCCCACAACTGCCTCAAAATCGTTTCTTAGGTTTTGCTTAATGGCAGATACTGCGAAACTTAATGGACTTCACACAGCTGGTTTCCTCGTAGTTAAAAGCCTTACTGATTGCTGATGCACAACTATGCCTTACTCGTTTATATACTTCTCTATAACCAACCATTTCCACTTGAATGTAACTCCCTTGATCTGATGCCAAACATGTGCTGGCTTTGTGCCGCCGCGCTTATGCAAGGGTCCACGATCAACCTCACTGCGAGGTTTCCCATGAGTGTCTGCTGCGCTTAAGCAAATCACCGCGCTGTTTAACGCATAACTTTTGGGCAATTTCTCATTTCTTATACGTCACCACTCCGCACTTTCACCCTCGTATATCATCATGAAGGATTTAAACAACATCTGAGATTCACTGAGGTTGTTAAAAAGGCTCCAGCCTATAGTAAATTTGCCTATCTGTTACAGCGATAGAAGGTTATGTACTCCCTCGTTTACCATCTGGTCGGTCTGCGAATCGCGGCTCTAGGAACTCCTTCGGTTCTAGTTTGTTCCAGTGTTTGATGATTCTCTTGTCACCGATTACACTGTAAACAATTAGCCTACTTATTGATCAAATATACACGCAGACACACGTCACAGCTACTGCATTTAACTCGTTACCAGTTGACTTATGAATGTTTTACTTATTCCTCTCCTCGTCATTCGCCTGCTTCATATTGCTGTATGGATGCGGCTTGTTTCACCCCATGCCCGCACTCCTATTTGTGGCAAACCTGAAGTATTGCTTTGCTTACCGATCTGAACCATTTGCTTGAAAACGTCTCGCCACTAATTGAGGTTACATTTTCATTACGTTGTAGCAAATTGGTTGTTAGCAGTAGGTGGGGTTCTGGTTAACCCGGATTTGATGGCGAAACGTCTGTAACCAAATTTGAAACAGTTAGTTTCCTTTGGTACTTTGAAGAGCGCAGTAAGAGGACGAAGACTGGCAAATGTACGCATTTCGTATTATCTCATCAATGCCTTTAACAACAACTCGCAATAATATTTATTCAGTGAAGGGTGCAACCAAACATGGTTGGCGGCATCCGGTTTCGGATTTGCCTGTCACTGTCGCCAGCCCCAGGACGCCTGCGCCTACAGAGGAACCATGGGTGACTTGCGCTGCACCACACACAGCTCCAACCACACACCACATATCCAGTGTAAACCCGAAGAAATAAGATCGGGAGGCATGCGGATGGGAGCCACGTTTCATCAACAGAGCCGGCCCACACTCCTTCACAGGCAAACACAAGCACGCTGTATTTGGGGTATCAAGTGCACACACAATGCGGTGGCTGGACCGTAGTCTGCTCCACACTAAGTACGTGGAACCACTCTTTGATCGTAACACAGCCACAAGGACCGTGCACCCCGTCCCTCCAGCAACGACCAGCTGTCTTCTAGAGCCAGTATGGACGAGGTAGTGGGTAATAGACAGGTAGGCACCTTGTCAACATGCACATCAAGCGCAACCATACCGGGGATATCAAGCAACAGCCAATCACTTGAGAGAATGCTAACAAAAAAAGAAATCGAGTAAAGCATGAGGAAACCTGACAAAAATTTTAAATTGATGAGCATATGAAATGAGTTGTTTACAAAGTACCCAAGATAAGTTCACGAGGTCAGAAAGTATATTTTACGAAAATGACACAAACACGAAAATGTTATCGAAATTAACTACAATTAGCTTAAGCGACATGCACAAGTTTATAGGTACAGGTAGACATTTATATGAGAAAGAAAAGCATTAGGACAAAATTGAAAACCCACTACCTGAAATAAAGCGACATAGTATGCAAGCACGCGGTTAGTAAATCGAACGCAGCGTATCTAAAAACGCTGCGCCGGTTCTGCCTACGTTCTCTGCAGAACCCGTCGTCGCTTCGGTAGTGGTCCCGAGTGGCCTCGTTCATGGCTCACTAAGCCTGCCTGACTCAGGCACTGGCGACCGCATGTGCTACAGCACCATGCGCTTGATGTCGATGGAGTGTAACCCATCGTTGCTTGCCGCTTCCACATTTGTCGCTTCTTCTCTGCATGTATGAAGTCAGTCTCCCGCAGTTCGGCAACTGCCTCCGTGATTAGATCGCGCCATGCACACCGATCAACCGCCTTCTATTCCCATGACCTGCAATCAAGATTAGAACGTGAGTGTCTCACTTTGATCATGTCCTGGTAGCGTACCTTTAGTTTCCCCACATGCCGCTTCCCTATACTCAGCTGACCGTATAAGAGTTGTTTCGGTATCCGCGTTGAATCCATACGCCACACATGACCGAGCCACCTCAGGTGTCTCAGCAAAAGTATGCAGTCCACTGCATACATCCCACTTTGTCGCAACACTTTCGTGTCAGCAACTCTGTCTCCCCATCCGATGCACAGTATCAGTCGCAAACACTGCTGATGGAACCGCTCGAGATGTCGCACATGTCGCCGGTACATCGTCCAGGTTTCAGTGCGGTATAGAAGAACGGACAGCACCATGGATTTGTACACCACCAGCTTCGTGCCAATGGTAGGCTGATGGTTGTTCCACACTCGGTACTCAAGGTTCCCGAATGCCGCCACTGCATTCGACACGCAGATACGAAGCTCACTGTGTATCTGCTGATCAGTTGACATCACACTCCCAAGGTAGCAGAAGCGGGAGATGGTTTCCAATACTTCAGCACCAACGCTGATTCGCGGCAATATTGAAGATGGTACTTCTGGTGATGGCTGAAAGAAGCAGACAGTTTTGCTTCTCTTGATGGTGAGCCCAAATGTTGCCGCTGTCGAAGCCAGAGCACTAGTCATGTGCTGCAACTCATTCGCGCTGTGTGAAAACAGCGCACAGTCGTCAGCAAACAGCAACATACGGATAGTTGTCTCACAGACTAGAGTTCTTGCACCGAAACGACGGATGTTCAGCAACCCACTAGCAATACGGTGCTCCACGCGAACACCGTAAGCGCAAGCGGCACCAAAAGCACAGGACATTATTGCATGAAGCTATATATTAAACAGGGCAGGAGCTAAGACACAGCCTTGCTTCACACCAGAGACAACTGCAAAGTCATCCGAGGTCTCTCCACTCAGCTGCACCCTCGCTCGCATACCACTGTGCAGACATTCAATTAAACTTACAAACTTGTGCGGGCAACGAAACTTACCCAACAACGGCCACAATGCCTCGCGGCTCACCGTATCAAATGCCTTGGTGAAATCAACAAAAAGCGATTACAGTGGGTGGTGTCGTTCTGTACACTTCTCCTGCAGTTGCCGAGCTACGAACACCCTATCTATAGTGTTGCGACCCGAACGGAATCCACCCTGCTCTTCCGCCACGTTAGGTTCCACAACCTGACTGACTAGGCAGTTGAGCAGGATTTGGGCAATCACTTTGCCCACACAACTCAGCAAGTTGATGCCACGATAATTCGTACAACATTGCTTGCTCCCTTTGCCCTTGTACAGTGGTAGCAAAAGGGCATCCCTCAGCTCAGGAGGCTCCTCCTCCTCAATCCACACGCGTTGCACCAAGTGTTGCAGCGCAGTCAACAACGCGGGTCCACCGTGTTTCAATACTTCAGGTGGGATCCCGTCACCTCCGGCACATTTGCCGTTTCGCAGCTGAGCAAGTGCTCTCTGCGTCTCATCCAGTGTCGGCGTGTCCGCCAGACTCGTCTTCGCATTGTGCTGCTTCAGGCAGTTCAATGTAGGCCAGTCGATCTCTGAATGGTTGTTCAAGAGACAAAGTATTTTCGCCAGATCGGCATTATATCTGCAGTCTTTGTGCAGGTAGCGCCTGAGCTACCATCGATCAGCGTCCTCAGCGGCTCCAATCTCGGTCCATACACCGCCTTCAAGGAGTCAAAGAATTCGTTGTGTTGGCGGCGTTCGGGTTAGCATTCCATCTGCTTCGCCTTCTTCGTCCACCATGCATTTGTAATGCGACGGAGTTCTCAGGTCAGTGGTCGTCGAAGTTTGCGAAACTGACTACTCTTTCCCAAGTCACTGGGGTCTGCGACATTTGCAGCAAATGCTGAATTCTCCCCCGACACCAATGCGCCAAGCGTCGCATTGGTTCTCATCAAACCAATCAGGCCGCTTACACTTTGCGCGCCCGATGGACTCTTCGGCAGCAGCTGTCACCTTATCGCGAATGTGGTGTCACAGGTTGTCCACTGTGGCTATGCCTTCCACATCACACAGGCGTGCAGCCATCGCCTTCTCCAGCTCAGTACGTTTCGCCACAGTACCGAGGGAGAGAATATTAAATTTATGCCGATTCACGGCGGGAGTGCAATACATAGATTTACGAAAATATATGTACAGTTTGGTCCGCACCAATTTGTGATCAGTGCCACACTCAGCTCCACACAGTACACGTGTCATGCGCACTTCACGCATATCACGCTGACTTACGATGACATAGTCGAGCAGGTGAGCGTGATCACTCCGTGGGTGAGTCTAAGTTGCTAAGTCAGTCGCACTCAGTGCAAACCGAGTGCTCGTGATCGTCAGGCCATGAGTGCACACAGTGAGAGCAACCTGTCACCGTTCGCATTCTCTGAACCAATGCCATGCGAACCGATAACATCTGTCCACACCGATGCATCACGCCCAACGCGCGCGTTGAAATCACCCAGCAGAAATAGTCGGTCGCTCCTCGGCGCTGACCGTATCACGGAGGATAGCTGAGTGTAGAATTGATCACGCGTGTCATCAGGATAACACATAGTCGGACCGTACGTGGTTATAAAAGTGGCACACTTACCTCTTCCGAGTCGTAGGCGAACAGTCATCAGTCGCGCGCTGATGCCCGTTGGTTCGCCCAATAGCTGACCATGGAGGCGATCGGATATTGCAAAT